CCCCCAAAACCCCAAAACCCCAAAACCCCTGGAATTTCTTTAAATATTGAAATAAAGCTTACATAACAAGTTTTTTGGCCCTGGTGTAGAAAGAGTGAGCAATGACTTAACCCAACGATAAAATCCATTCATAGTCCATCACAGGAGCCAAAAAATGCTCTCTTAGAAATCAATGAGCGCTTTCTGTTTCTCTCTGAGCTCCATTCTTGCTCAATCTCTTTTACTCTAGTGTTCTTTTCTCTCAGCTCCAACCCCATACCTCAAAGATGCCGGTATGGTTCCTTTGGTTGCGTGTTCTCCTCTTCTTCTCTAAGACCTTAGGCCTATGTGTTGACTTGGCTCTGATCACATTAAGGTTGTGGAACAGGTGCACCAGAGGCTTGCCCTGCGGCAGAGCCTTGTGCGCTAGGCCGCACAAGTCATGCTCCCTGAGAAGACTGTTCAAGTAGCTTTGCCTAAGAGTTCAGAGGGGCCTTACCTAGTGTTATTGGGGGGTTTTAAAGTGCTGTTATTTGGAAATTCCTCAATCTGTTGGGTTTAAGTGAGTGTTATTTAAGAGCCAAGGGACTGCCAGCAGGCTTGAAAGTCACTCTTGCTTTGAAAAATGTGTTTTTGCTCCTTTTTGGGATTGTTTTAGAGGAATAACGCTTATTTAAGCAACCTAGTTGATGCTAGGATTGGAGATTTTCTGGTAAAATTAGAGGAAGGGTTATTTTGGATGGAAGTGATCAGCCCCAGTCAGTTTGCTCATGTTTTTATTATAAGTTTTCCTATACATTTTACATATAACTTAATTTGTAATCCAGAAAATCCAACTCAGGAATAAAGCCTTACCTCTTTTTCCCGTAGCCACCGAATTTTCCGCTGTATAAAGACTTTGTAAACACCTTGGTACTTCTCAGCTTTTCTTCAGATGTATTAAAAGGGAGAAATTGGGGTATTTTCATCTTCAAGGTTTCTTTATTTCCTACATTTTATTAGCCAAAGGAAGTAAACAAACATCTTGATTCATAAACTGTTGCTCAAGAAATTTAAGATCTCAGCCAGCTTACCTCTCGTTCTTCTGAAAGCTGGTCTTAATCGTAGAATTTGACTTCATTGCTCTACTCAACTCTAAAATTATAGCCAAAAGTACGAGAGATCTTTAATTTTGATGTTGCTCCGATTAAGTTGCCAAACTTTGGAATATTTTTACTCTTAGAAAGCACCTTATAATTAGTAATCTCTTCGGTCTCTTTCATCCTTTCTTGCTCTAAACAACCCTTATAACCCCCTTTCCTAACACAAAGCGTGCGAAATACCTCAAATACCCATTGAAGTCTTAATCCGTCCCTCAATCCTTCTCTTCTCCTTCATACACGTCTTCAATGGCGTCGAGACCTCCCTGTCAATACAAAACTCTATATCCGAGTTCAGCCCCTCATTAGTCTTCATCTTTGCCCCTAAAATTTCTTAAATTAATGCTATAAATCCCCAAAGGGGTTTTGGGGTTTTGGGGTTTTGGGGTTTTGGGG